TTCTTTTCATCCACAAGAGTCCAAGGGCAGAGGAGTAATCTATAAGCATCTCTTGAGTCACTGCTCAGGATGACAAAAAAGGAGAATATAAAGAATCCTTGAAAAGCATTGAAGAAAGCAAAAAAGAACTGAACTATGAATGAGAAGCTATAGGCTCAGTAATAAATGTGAAGACAGCAGATAGCCACGTGAGACCCAACAGCATCAAAATACCATAAAAAGATAGCATCATTTTTATTGCTTCAGATGTGGTGAGTTGAGACTTACTCATTCTCTTGTTCTTATGAATAGTGTGGAGAAGAACACAAATAACAATGATATATATAGTAATGTAGAAGATAAGTATGACGAAGACTGGAAGTAGAAAAGCAGCCAGAAAAGGGATCATGTCATTAATGAAACAACTAACAAACAAAAAATCAATAAAGGACAATAAAAATGAATACTCTGCCACTTACAATCCAGACTGGTTTTCTGGTTAGTACAAATAAATATAGAAATCAGCATGAATTACTAATGTGATTATAACTGGTAAGAGCGGTAGAGCTAATAAAGCATGAAAAATCATTGTTGTATAATCATATTCTTACATTTCCATGTTATGTCTGTGAATACAATGACTAGTTTTTGAAACATTAGTAAAGCCTCAGCTGCCATTCACATCCAAGCAACAAGAGCAAAGTAATGAATGAGGACACCAACTGTTACACAACCAGCTCTCACTGATACCCTATTAATACCACTGACAAAAACTGCTAGCATGAAAATTAATGAGAGGCAAAGCTGAATGTGAAATTTGCTAGCTTCTCTTGTTCTTAGTTTCCTATTACAAAAAAGCATTTATAATTTAAGAAATACAGTAATTGCATTCTCACTTTAAAATAATTAAAGTGATAATTGTTAGTAGTAGTCCCACTAGTGAGAGACACACACCAACAATTGATACAACTTCTAGTGTAACATTGACATATTGAGGAGGTTGGGTAGGTTCACTGACTCTAGCAGATACATCCTATAAAAAGACATTGAGTAGCTGTATATGTAGTGTGATTGTGATTAATTTCTCACCACAAGACAAGCAAAATTAGTCAAATGATCACAATGGCAAGCTATGAAACTGAGATCATCAGTAGTATTAAGTCTTGTATTACAACCATCAGTAGACCAATTACCCCTGCCACCTATATCATATAAGTAGAAAGGTAAACCATTAAGTTTATAGAAACTGTAATTTAAAGCTACCTGCTGTAGTAAAATTCCAGGACACACAGCGAGGGTTACTAGCATTCTTTGATAGCAGAGAATAATAATTATATCATTAATATTTATTTAATCACTTACAATTACTCTATTCAGAGACAGAGTAATGATTAAAGGGTCAGGTAGTTTAGTACCATCAGCCACTCCACCAATTCTTGCACCAATGACTGATGATCCCACTATTGTATTAGGTGGAGGATCTCGAACAGGAAAGAATACTGATTGATTGTACAGTGTGAATGATAAATCAATGATATCACTCTCAACAATATTTATAATGTTTTGTGGCAATCCAATTGATGCTATTCTGTTAAGCTTCAAACCATTTGCACCATCATCTTCAATTTGAGTGTCAATAATCAATCTATTATCTACAGTAGTGTAATTAATGAAAAGTAATTTTAAAAATCATACCTGTAAGTAGATTTCATTTTAAATCACACAATAAAGCATAAAAAATACAATCTTTTTATTTAAAAATTATACTCACTGGAAGAGACTGCAGTAAATACAATTCCACTAAATTCTGATTGTTGAAGCTATAAAACTAAATTAATTCAGAAATTACAATGATTACAAATTTGCTAGCTTCTCTTGTTCTTAGTTTCCTATTACAAAAAAGCATTTATAATTTAAGAAATACAGTAATTGCATGATCACTTGAATATAATTAAAGTGATAATTGTTAGTACTAGTCCCACTAGTGAGAGACACACACCAAGAATTTGATACAACTTCTAGTGTAACAGTGACATATTGAGGGGGTTGGATAGGTTCATTAACTCTAGCAGCTAGATACATTCTATAAAAGACATTGAGTAGCTGTCATTGTGATTAATTTCTAAGCAAAATTAGTCAAATGATCACAATGGCAAGCTAAAAAACTGAGATTATCAGTAGTATTAAGTGTTGTATTACAACCATCAGCAGGCAATTACCCCTGCCACCTACATCATAAGTTGAAAGGCAAACCATTAAATTTATAGAAACTGTAATTTTTAGCTACCTGCTGCAGTAAAATTCCAGTACACAGTGGGGGTACTAACATTCTTTAATATCAGAGAATAATCATAATTATCAATACTTATTTAATCACTTACAGCTACTCATATTCAGTGCCAGCTAGAGAAATAACTAAAGGGTCAGGCCGGTAGTTTAGTACCATCAGCTACTCCACCAATTCTTGCACCAATAACTGATGATCCCACTATTGTATTAGGTGGAAGATATCGAACAGGGAAAAGTACTGATTGATTGTACAGTGTGAATGATAAATCAATGATATCACTCTCAACAATATTTATAATGCACTATGGCACTCCAATTGATTCTCATTCTGTTAAGCTTCATCATCATCTTCAACTTAAGTGTCAACCATAAATCTGTTATCTACAGTAGTGTAATTAATAAAAAGCAATTAAAATATCATAGCTGTAAGTAGATTTTGTTATAAATCAGCACAATAAAACATAAAGAATATAATCTAATAAAAATTATACTCACCAGAAGAGACTACAGTAAATACTATTCCACTTAACTCTGATTGCAGAAACTATAAAACTGAAATAAATCAGAAATTACAATTAAGACTCACTCTTTCTCCTTTTAGAGCAATGTCATCTAATTCTCATTCTTACCATATGCACTAAACTCTTAATGTAATAAAGCTATCAAAAGCATTCTGATCATCATCATTAATTGGATCCAGGATTTAGTAAAACCTTCAGCTAGATGACCCAGTTCCTCATCATCAATTCCAGCCATGATATCCAGCCACTTCCACAATAACTTGATTATCCCAGTTCCATTGCATGAGTGTTCAGACATGATGTTTTAAAGCTCCAGTTACATACAAACACTTGAATCAATGATTATAAAGTGATCCTGTCATACATCATCAGTTGGGACTCTGTGTTTCATCACAGTTTCTCCTACAGTACTACCTAGTCTTTTGTGTCTTACTCTGTTATCTTGTCTATGTGTATTGTGAAGTTCATTAATAATAATAATAAATAATAAATAGTAAATGACTAGTCTCGCGTAGCCAGACCGTGGTCTGGCGCTGCGAGACCAGTGAATGACATGCTGCTTCCTTTACTGTCCCCTCCTCCTCCTCTCTAATAGCTCTATCCAGTACCAATGACACTACTAGTCTTATACAGAGACACCACATTCCAGTACATAAGCATTGTGAGTACTAAATAGTCTCTCTGATTTATGCTCTGATGAGTGATGCAGTACTGTGCTATGTAACCACGTTTTTGCACGTGGTCACTAATAAAACTGAGTAAAGATTGTATAGTCTAAATGATAATTAATTGGAAGTGGATATTGGTCCGGCAGCCGGACGCCTACTGCGGGGCTATAGATCCGGCAGTCCGTTGTTCTCCGTAAAACAGTTTGTGCGCATGCGCAATAGGGCAAAATGGAACTTAGTCTTTTTTATCAAGAAACCCTAATCCCAAAACCCTACAATCCCGGAGGCTAAGATGTACGAGAGGGTGCTCTAAAAACTAAACCCCAATCCCAACCCTACGACCCCGGAGGCTAAGATGTACGAGAGGGTGCTCTAAAAACTAAACACTAAACCCCAATCCCAACCCTACGACCCCGGAGGCTAAGATGTACGAGAGGGTGCTCTAAAAACTAAACACTAAACCCCAATCCCAACCCTACGACCCCGGAGGCTAAGATGTACGAGAGAGTGTTTATTTTAAAAAAAAGTAAAAAGTGATTAAAAGAAAAAAAAATCAAAACATTTCAGCATAGTTTTAGTCAATAGTCCCGACAGGATTCGAACCGCTGACCCCATCCGTGCCATCCAGAAAGCCTCTCCACTACACCACCGCAACCCTGCTGCATCAACGTTGCTGATTGTCGTATTTATACTTGATATCTGTATATAAAATCGTGTATTAGTATACTGGGGCGAAGCCCCAGTATACTATATAGGGACTGCCGGACCAATAGCCCCGCAGTAGGCGTCCGGCTGCCGGACCAATATCCACTTCCTAATTAATTTGTTGGAATGTAGCCGAAGGCCCGAAGCTCGTTGTTTAGAAGAAGAGGATGTCGGGAAAAAGTTAGTTCATCTCTTCCTACTATCTTCTCTCCTCCTTTGTCTTCATGCTCTCTCTTTCTATTTATTCTTCTGTAGTCCTTGTCTTTATTTCTATCATTATTCATTTACTACAGGTTTCAGAATGAGAGCTGAACACAAAGCTCCTGTAATAGGGGAGTCCCTCTACCTGTGGGCAGGGAACCAGTTTGACTTACCTAAAGTTCATGACTCCCTTCAAAAGAGGGAATTGACTTCAAGAGTTGATGTCTACCAGCTTTCTACTGCTGACTGGTCCTCTCACCTAACAAGAGGTACTCCTCCATTAGGTGTAATTGCCTACTCCTGTACCACCTCTCATTCTAATATTTACTATTTTGGTGGATGGTGTGGTCATGATTACTGTTACCACAATACGTTGAATGTACTGAATACGATAAAGATGCGGTGGACTTCATGCAGTAATGTTGATCAGTCGTTGATGAAGAAAGGCTATGGTGGAATGATATCACTAGAATTTGATGGAGCAGAATACCTTGTCATAATAGGAGGGATTGGTTCTACACCAACTGTTTACCATCCTCAGTTTCAATATGATCAACTTAAGAATGGGCGTGTTAATACTAATGAACAGTTACTTTATAATATGTCCACTGGTAAGATTATCTTCATATTAATGAGTACATGTACATGTATACCTAATTACCGTATAGGGACTAAAATTTGGCGAATTGCTAAACTTTGATAATTGGCGAATTTTAATTTGGCAAGTTTGTGGCCATGTGCCATTGAGCATGCGTATAATAGCTCAAAATGGCAAATTTTATTTGGCGAATGGATATTGAAATGCCAAATTCGCCAAATTTGATTCCCTCCAAAATTTCCTACTATACGGTATACTGATTTACAATTGTTTAACTTGTATAATACACTTTTGTGTCTTTATGACTAAGTTACATGTACACAATATACATGTACATAATTCAATATAACAATTATAATTTATATTGATAGATGATCACTGTATTCTCTTCATTTTAGGACAATTCACTGTTCCATCTGTCAGTGGACAGTGTTGCCCACCAACTAGTAGTTTGATAATTGAGAAGATTACTACTACCGGTAATAGAGGAGTAATGTTTGGGGGTATGGTGACTGTTAATGGTGACGAGAGTACAGCTACTAACAGTGTTTACATATTCAGTGTGACACATAGTATAATAGTAAGTTGTATTATATTTTGTTGTATTGTATTGTATAGTAATACATTATCTCAGTATTATCACTTGAGGCTATATTGTGTTGTACTTATATTAACTGTATATTTTGTGTATTATTATGTTCACAAAACTCTGATACTACATAAACTACATAAAATGTTTTCATAGCTAGCCAGTCATGCTTAGTATAGTATTTTATATTCTGTATCTATAGATTTGTTAAACACAGTCACTAACCTTAATTAAGAATTAATTTTTCCATGTCATACCCATTATTTGTATAGTCACACATACATTATTTATATTTACGCTGACTGATATTATTAGTATTTGTTTATGTATCTAGAACTGGGAGATACTGAAACCAGGAGCAATGCCTAATGAGGGACTGTTGCCTATGGATAGAGTTGATCATGCTAGTGCTATTATCAATGGTGACTCGATCTCACCTATACTAGTAGTGATTGGTGGAACAGATAAGAATAATGAACTAGTTAATGAATGTTTGTTGTTTGATAGTATCACTACTGGTCAGTACAGTTGTAGGAAGGTACATGTGTATGTGTGTGTGTAGAGTACTGTAATAATGTGTGTGTGTGCGTGTGTGCATAGTTAATTTAGTTGACAGATGACGCTAGTACTGATGTATATTGATAATAGATTAGTATTATAGCAGGTTTTTTTAGGAGAACAAATTTCATGAATTTTACAATTTTTTGAGATTTGTAAAATTGAATTCTGATGTGATACGATACAAGATGGTAGAATATTGGAAATTTGCAAAAATTAATATTTTGTAATTCTCCACATACAATTCATTTGCAAAAATTATTGTCCTTAAAAACTGCTGTTCGGTAATTGTTAGTGTGTTCAGTAGATAACACTATCTCTGATGAAACATTAACAATACAATAGAACCACCCGCACATCTAATTAAAAATTACATGTTTCATTATTTTGTGAACCAACCTTAAAGTGTGTGCAGTGTGTGTACTATTAACACATTTCTTATTCTTGATATTGAGAGTTAAATTTTTACATATTATGTTATTTTTCACATGTTGCTTTACTTTGTTTTGTTGATGGTGAGGATTAAATTGATTTTACAATATAGGATATGTGTGTTAAGTATATTCATATCAAAATAAATGTATTCATTGTATACCGTAATAATTTTCCAGAAAAAATTAATTTGTTGGAAGTCAGTTTTCCATTGGCAGCAATGGAGAAACAATAGAAAAAGGCTTGGTACCAGGAAACTGCTTTGTATTTCTCAATAGCAATCTTTCAGGTGACTACTAGACCCCATTAGATCCTCAGGATGCTTTCTAAGCTTCCAAAAAAGGCTCAAGAAGGTAGCAAGGCAAGAAAATATGTTTTCCCCATTAAACTCTTCATAACCTTGACGTCCAACATGGCGGTCAATTTACTGTGTGGGTTGGATATACAGTATTTAAAAGTTAGAATATACTTAGCACGCATATCCTCTATTGCAATAATTGTAACTATCATCTACATATGAAATTTGTCATTTTATATGTAACTGTATAAACATCATGGATCAGTAATTACTATATACTTCTCTTTATCTACAGATTCCTTTACCTGAAACTGTTACTGGTAGATACGGTCACTCACTCACAGCAGTCACAATGTCACCACACTGTGTGTGGCTAGTAATTGTTGGAGGATGTAAAGAGCTTGAATTGAAAGATGTTGGAGGAGGAGTGAAGGAGTCGTTGATTACACCAATCACTGATACTAATAGAATAATAATGATAATTGAATTAGGTAAGATAATATTAATCAAATTGTAAAGATATGAGCATTAAATACATTATTACATGAAATAATGTCACACTCATTTCTATAGTACATGTACTGGTATGTGAGTAATTTTTCAGTTGATGTATTTTTTCCATTCATTTTGTATACTGTACACACTACAATACCACTGTGTGTGTGGGTGTGTTTTTTACAACCACTATGATAATGATATAAATTAAATACGTATATGTAATGTATCTTATTGTCTCTCAGTATATAGTGAAGCTGGTGAGTGGATAATACAGTCAGTACTGGATGGTAATGATCTCACTAGTAAGAACTATCAAGAAAAGTATCAATTGTATAGCAAGACCAGAACATGGTGGATGGATCAGCTAATAGAATATCCCACAGAGAAGGAAATGAAGCTTCAGAGATATATACAATCTTTACATCAAGACCTACAAGTGGCTTATCAGAGCAAAGTATCACTACAGGAGTCACTGGTTGAGGCCAATAAACAAGGTATATAGGATACTATACACACACACACACACACACACTTTAACTGTACTAACTGATTACTATTATGTACTCTTGTGTGGTTATTGGTAGTGTGAGTGTTTGTATTAGTACTGGTTTACATCACACAATGTTAAATTGTCCATGCAGTTACATATTAAGGAGATTAATGTACAGTGAGCTCTGCTTAACATGTATGGTATCATTAGTCATAATTATAGTACATGTATTTATGGGCTATTGTACATGCAGTGCAAATTTGTATAAGCTACAAATAATATTGAATATGATTATGTAATGGTTTGTACATTGGTTGAACCAGTCTTTGGGTTTGTATATATCTGTATATTCTTTTGTGTTATTATGCATGCATACACTGAATATTCTCTGCTTTTATATTATTATTCAGTTAATGGTGATGATAGTAATGATATTATGAGCAATGTATTACAAGAAATGAGGCAAGAACAGGAAAAACTGATTGAAGAGAAACAGATTATTACTGGTTAGTGTATCATCAGTACATAATATTAGATGAGAGAATTATATTTTGTTAATGTAGAAGATTGTGAGAAACTTAAACTCAAAGTAGCTGATATGGAGGAGAAGGAGGAACAATATCTGAAGGAGATACAGATCATTACTGGTTAGTGTATCATCATTTATTAATAATTAATATTCTATTAATTTATAGACCTTAGAGCTAAAGTGACTGATAATGAATTGTATACAACCAAACTAATGAAGGAGAAGTCACAACTACAGGAGAGAGTCACATCCTTAGAGGAACAATCCATCAAAGAGACTAGTTCCATTGGACTACAATTTAATTACTTGATCCCTTCAATGGGTAAGAGTATTATTGTGTGACTGCGTGACTGAGTGCAGGATTTTTCATAAGATTTTAACTTAGTGTTCATGTAGCTTTTATCAGTGTATTGTTTTTGTTGCTCAAAAATTAGGCAAAGGACTGTACAGGGTATTTTGTCAAAAATAGCTAGGAGAGAATTCTCCATTTTTATTAATTTTTACTGATACATATACATGTTTGTATTGTGTATCAACTTTGAGCTGATTCCAATAAGTTTTTTAAAATGAATTTTTAAATTTACTCCAAATGCCATTTACTGTATTGTAGTGCTTGCCAGTTCATGAAGCATGCTGTTTATCTCACTTAACATGTTTTTTGGGGAACCCTGACTGAGTGTATACAATTGTGTGTGTGCTCACTGTATATATTTTGTATAATTGACAGATAAATTGGATTGTCTGAGTGATGTCCAGGTAGCTGAGAGGAAGCTGTTCTTAATTCAAGGAGACAAACCTCAACTGATGAATTGGGAGAAATATGGTCTAAGGATTGGAGTACAAAAGGAGAGCTTACTGTCCTCTGAGACAGTTGAAGTAGCAGTGGTCGCTCTTGTAGGAGGACAGTTCCAGTTTCCTCTTAATACTGTCCTAGTGAGTGCTGTGTATGCAGTATCACTCTCAAAGCCTCTCCTCAAACGGCTCATATTAGAAATACAGCACTGCATTGATTTAACAGGACAACCAGCTCTTAGTCATCATCTCAAGTTTGCTATAGCTCCCATGAGTACACCCAGTCTTCCTTACCAGTTCTCAATAGTTGAGGGAGGACAGTTTAAACTTGATAGTTGGTATGGATCCATCGAGCGTAAAGAGTTCTGTTTGGTGTGCATACTGGGAGAAGAATCAGCTAATGAAGGAGGTAATGATGTCCCTATAGCATCAGTTAATGGAGACATAGAGGAAGGAGAGAAGGATGAGGAGGATAAGGAGTCAGAGGAAGAAGTTGAGGAGCAGTTGAATGATGAGGAAGAAAAAGAAGTTGAGGAGCAGCAAGATGAGAAGGGAGACCAAGAGGGAGGAGATGATGATGATGACAGTGATTACTCTAGTGATAAGACTAGCAGTAATGCACTAGGTGCTAGTGGAGTCGAAGGTCAGTTAGTTATAGCTATAGTTAGTGTATGCTTTACTTTACTATTAGTGTCTAAGGATGGAGAGAAGGGGAAGGAAAAGGATGATACAATAATTACTACGAAAGCAACTGGTGCTGCAGCAGCAATCCCTCTCCTTGTGTCTGAGACTGAGAATGAATCTGAAGTTTCAACAAAAGATATCTCTGGTGACCCAGTTCACAGTAAACGCATGCACTGATGTAAAATGGTTTTTTATGCATCACTATAGAAACACTGTCCATTGGTGTGAGAAAGGTCATAACCTATGCTGGTATACTTTATTATGAAGAGGACAGAGTAGAAGATTTAGTTTCCTTCACTGCAGCTAAGAAACTAAATGCCCTCACTGAAGTAATGGTTGTATTCTTTTTATGCATGTCTCATTAGTTTTTATTGTAATAGTTTATAAAAAATGAGCACTGTCATGCTAAGATTGGACAATATCTTTACTTTCGTTTTATGCCCAATTGTGATGATAGCCCATACATTGAACTGATCTTTGATACTCCACAGAAGAAACCCACTACTGGATGGAGTATTGAGCCTCATATAGAACCATGCAGAGTAAGTTTAATGTTACTGGTGAAATTATTGTTGCTGTCATGTAGCTATATCAAGATGATGTTGATAAATTTGGAAGAAAAGATTGTTCTCTTCCTTCCACCTGCCTGATATCTGTTTCTGGTTCAATTGATGCTGTTTCATCATTGCACTATTCTATACCACTGGATGGAGTGGTTCGTCCCAAGACATTATTCATTCACCGATCACTGAGAACTACTCCTTCAACAAGTACACACAAATCAATTCAATTATTTATTTGTTTAATATCGATCACATCCTACCTTCTCTAATTTAGTACATGAATCAACACTAGTATCATCCACTGGAGGAGCTAGTAAGTGATAATACTGTGTGTATACACTGACCTTTGACCTAGGTCCATTAGCTACTGTTGATGTCAATAAAGTAAAGAAAGTGATCAATGATGTTCTTGTATCTCATTATGCTGATTTTACTTCACTACCAATGGAAGCTGTCCCTGATCTTGCCAATAAATTATTTGCTCTTTGTTTGGTCAACAATGCTGTCAGAGGGAATCCTTCAATAGAGAAATTTATTAATGAGTTCAAGGCTGGTCTTACTTTTCAGCGGAAGTTACCTCAAGTACAGGAGCACTGTCAAAAGTTCCTAAGCTCATTCATTGCAGTTAGGGGCAGTTTTGCTTATGCAGCAACAGCCTTGCACCAGGACTGGATTGAAGCTATTAGGAATGAACTGGGATTTGATTTTAATATTGATATTGATGCTTAATAATAATTTTGATTGATTTTTAGATTCATAATGCTTATGTTGAAAGCAATTTTTGATTGTCAAATTAATTTAAAGTTCCTTGTTGACATCAACCAACCAAATTCACATATCTTCACAATGAGACAGAAAATGATTGATTTTTTACAAAGCATGCATGCAGGTACCATCTGTAGTGACCGAATGGAGAGAGCTTGACCTTCGTATTTTGTAAATATTGATTATTGTAAAAAGGCTAAAATCTCTTCTGACAAAAATGAAAAGAGCATACACTTATATACAAACAGTATTACATCATATTACATCACAATGACAAAACATTACACAACAATCAGAATCAGTATACATGAACTAATAAGCATAGTAAATCATAAGCATCAGCTAGAAGGGAAAGAAATAACATCGTACAGCAATGCAATAATAATAATAATTAATAATAGTAATAATAATAATTGTAATAACAATAGTAGTAATAATAATCATAATAACAATAATAATAATACTAGAAATAACTGTAATCAAAATGCCTTAGAAAATAATAATAGGAATCAATACCAAAATAATATATCAATATATAACACCATCATTAATTGCAGCTACAGTCTCACCGCCCAAATCATTCCCCAGCATACAGTAATTTGACTCAAATAAAACTAATTACTAAAAAGATGGGCATGTTTGTCAAAACAGGTCCAAGACATGCACCACATATAGTGTTTAGTAAACAAGTAATGCAACATATAAGGGGAACATTCACACTACCACTTTCAGCATCACTAACAGCAAACTTTTACAAACAAGAAAGAAGATGAGTGCCCTATTGATTATCCTATCAGTTGTACTAGTAATATCTACATTGACTGGATCTATTGACAATTACCACAATGGTAAGATACTGACTACTACACTAATGCATAATATACCTGCTGTTTTGATTATATATAATATAAACAACAAGAACCTACCAGTAATAAAGGATTCACAGATTGTTGTAAGTCCAATAATACACTATTCATTTATTTTATTAATTTTAAGCTGTTACTAAGAAATTTGTTGAGCTCACTAACACATCAATAACTCCAGTTCCATTGAAACGTGGGGAAATGAGTTACTGGAAAGGATTATTAAAGATCAGTTAGTCATAACATTTATCAGTAAACATAAATTCATTTATCTCTAGAGAGAACCATACACTGGGGTATAGTGCATCTAACACTGACACATAACTTCAAGAATTATACTAATATTACTTTCCTTAACGAGAACTTTAATTTATGTGACTACTTAGATGATATAATTAAGGAATATTGTCCAGTACATCCAGGAATATATCATATGAATGCTAGTACTACAATGTCAAAACTCCTTAGGCCAGTAAGTAACAAATAGACAACCTTTCCATGCTACTATTCTATTTCATAGGGTCAGTATTACGCCAGAGTAACAGCTTACAATGAGAAAGGAGAGCAATTATATGCGTAATGAAAAAAATTACTTTCAATTGAATGGCATACACTACATGATGAGCATTGTTTGATAAATGTAACAAACATGGGGTCAAATACATTATTACAAATTTAAAATTTTGTATAAAATCAAATTTTGATTGAAGTGGGCTAAAAATTTCTATGCAACATAAAAACATGTATGTTCATTAAAAATTTTTTAAATAGAAAATCCTTACTTTTTCATTTTAGAAAAAATTGA